GAGAAATACTAATAAATCAAATACGACAATGGGAAGCTTTCGATGAGATACAAGCTCAAGCGTCTTCGAATTAACTAATTGATACTCACCAAGAACGAAAGCCCCATATACAAAACGACGACAATAATATTTCCAAACTAAAAAATCAAACACAAAAATGGAAGCGAAAAAATGAATTATTGAAGCATATACCCTTGGGAAACTATGGAATTAAGTGAAGCATAAGCTCGGCTTTGAAGGAAAGTGAAAACCCTTCGTTCCCTTTTGGCGGCTGTTGAATCGATTTTCTGATTTTTGTTTGTTCGCTTAGATTGAGAGAAAAGCGATCGAAACTCCTACAGATATCTAATGTATCAATCTACGCGGTTGGACTTGGATGTCCTCACATTTGTTTAACTAAACGAGGTTGTTTTTGGAAAAAGCGATATGAATTTTCTAAAATATGATAAATTTCATTTTTTGCAACAACCAATATCAAATCATAAAAGTAGAGTTATTAAACAATAAGCAAGACTGTTTTGACTTTTGAATATATAGATTAAAAAAAAAATGAACCAATCCTTGCTCCAGGTTCAAATCAATAAAATTCATCTCCCTATACAAAAAATTGTAATGAAGAAAAGTATACATCTAATATTGATTTGTCTAAATTGGAAAACTCTGAGTCTAATTTATCAATTGAAACCTCTGAATTTCTTTATTTCTTTGTAATTTGACTCGAAAGAAAACATTCTCAGTGAGTTCATTATACCGACGGAAATACTATTCCATCAAGTTAAATAATTATTAACAGGTCACACAGCTATCTACTTATATATTACTGGTTTTGGTTATGATAACATTTGCCAGTTACATATATTCGTAATTTAGTAAGATCACCTAATATATTATAGATGCCTTGCACTTGATGGATAACTATTTGAATTCATATATTGCATATTGAAGTACAGATCTCCAAAAAATAAAGTTAAAAAAAAAAAGGAAAAATGAAATAGAATTCATATTGTTCAACTATTAGTCCTGCTAGTGAATGTTTGACCAGTTGATGTGCAGATTTTACCAACAAATTGGATGTCACAGCTAAAGCACAAAACAATAGACATTGTTATCTATTTATATTACTACACAATATGCTAATACATGGTACTTGACTCTCTTAGGTAAAATGTTCTTTGTTTAGGCAGCAATTATTTTGAATCTTACACAAACTCACACAAGGCAAAATCAACCCAAAGAAAAAAATTGCTCAGCACAAAGAATTTAACGATAAGAAATTCGCGCGTGGCAGAGAGACAAAAGAGAGAAAGCTTGTTTCCAACAAAATCTCAAGAAAACAGTACGAACACCGTACGTTCAAAGTATTAATACAGAATACAAGTCAATATTATTTCCACAATAACTCTTGGGAGTTTTGCACTCTGGCTCAGTAACAGTTGTATCAGAAAAGATTACCAGCAAATGATTTAACATCCCTCTTCAATTCTGTTCAGGCTCAGTCTTCTCAAAAAATGTCTTCCTCAACCAGTCAAACGGCTGCCAACATAAAGAAAAAAAAAAAGATACTTTACCACAACAATAAAAATCATATACTTCCTACAGTGCCAAAACACAACCAATACCATCGATGTTTTCTTTGAGGCAGATGGACTATGAAATACACATGTATCAAAAGTAAGAATTAACCAAATCTACAGATTATAGAGAGGCACAACACAATCTGGTAGCTTGTAGGGCTAACCAAGTTGTGGATAATGCTGGGCAATATTCAAAACCAGCATTTAAACTTAGATGTAGTTAGACAATAGTCAGTTGAAGTGTCAGTAAGGACTTCATTACTCGAAACAAGACTCCTCAGCCATCAAAGTGGGAGTTATACCTTCATACAAACACATGAATAGAAATAAATAAATGTTGAACTCAAAACTCTGACATTTGCTTTAGGTCGGAAATATTATGGCAAAAATCAGCGTATTCCNCAAATTAAGCTACATAATTTACAGAGGCAAATATTGGCATGAAGCGTTAAAAAAAAAAAAGGGAAGCAATTCTTTCGTAGCTCACAACCCATTAAACTTGGGGAGTGTAATCATTTCGGATTCTTAAAGTCTTCTTAAGATTTTAAGAAACATTGTGTTTTTATTTGAAATTTTAAAAAAGTCTTAACAATTGACGAGGTATCCAATTGAGATTTCAAAAAGTCTTAAAAAGTCATAAGATATTCAATTTATCACTTGGCTCTGATTAGACTTTTTAAGACTCTTTGGGATTTCAAGGACAAAATTAGATTACATTACATAAACGAAATCTTACACAAAATCCCATCCCCCAAGCATGAAATTTGTAAGGATTCCAATTAAATCAAAAAATCATAGGGGGTGTATTCGTTTGAGATTTCAAGTGACATTTTGAGACTTTTTGACATTTGAGACTTTTTAAGATTTTCAGATTTTGAAGGACTACTATGAAATCTTAA